GTAGTGAGACAGTCGTCTCACTCTCTGCTCAGTGTGTTTTGAACTCTGACTTGAGCAATCCGTCGCCCTCGGCCTCAGGAGAGCTACGGATGTACAGCGCGTCAGCACCACGCCCGCCTAAGACTATGCTCGTCTTGATCGACTCATAAAAATCCTGTAACTAGTGTTCTACAGGAAGATAAACAGTCAAGAAGCTTGAAGGGCATTTTTATTTTCAGGAAAATATTCAAAAAAACATTTTTTAGAGGAAGAATATTAAAAAAATTTTTCAAAAAAATAAAATTTCATCCACTTTTAACCTTTTTTTTAAAAAACAATTGTTTTTCACCCTTTTTTCTCTTATTTAAGTCCTTGTCAAAAAAAAGGAAAAAAAAATTCCAAAGTTCAAAAGCAAAAAAAAAAAGACAACAATTGAAAAACAAGATAAATCTAAGAAAAAAAAAAGACAAAACAAAATCAATTTAAAAAGTTTTAAAAAAAAAAAAGTGGCCCTTTTTTTTGGCAACCAACCAAGGAAACTTGGGAAAAAAATTTAAAAACACCCTCCAGAAAGTCCAAAAATCTAAAGGGAAATGGACAAAAAAAAAAAAAACTTTTCTTTCCTTGCTTCTGGCCCTTCCAAGACCATAACACCAAAGAAAATTAAATCCTCTTTTTTTCTTCCCTGTTTCCCCCTGTCTTTAAAATCCAAAAAAGTTCAAGTTACAAGTAGGCCCTAAAAATTAACCTTGGGAAAAAAACAATGGCCTTACCAAAATTTTACAAAAAAGTAAAAAATTGGTTTTTTTCCCAAAAAATTTGTTTTTTTTTTTTTTTTTTTAAAAAAAAGTCCCCAAATACCAAAAAGAAATTTTTATTTTCCATTTTAAAAATTTCCTTTTTCTTTTTTTTAAATTTTTCCCAATTTGCCAAAAAAACAAAAAAACAACAAAATTTCCTTTTTTTGAAAAAAAGGGCAAAAAAAAGATTTTTAAACCCCCTTTTCCCAAAAAAAACCCTTTTTCTTCATATAAATGGCGGAAAAAAAAAAGTCCCCCCCCTCCTTTTTCCCCAAGCAAAAAAAGGAAAAAAAAAAAACCTTGGAAAGAGAAGGGGCGCAAAAAAATCAACAAGAACAAATTTTGCCGAAAAAAATTGGGTTTTTTTCCCCTGCTTGGTGTGGCGGGGAAAAAACTGGAAAAGTCCCAAGTCCTGTTTTTTTTTGGGATTTTTCTTTTTTTTTTTCATACAGAAAAAAGGAGGAACAAAAAGGGGTCCCCCTACTTTTTTTCTTTTAAAAGCCCTTTCATAAACCTGGGGGGTTGTGGGGTTTAAAAGCCCCAATGTTTATTTCTTTTTTCTTTTTAGGCCCAAAAAAAAAAAAGACTTTTTCCAAAAACCCAAAAAGCTCCAACTTCCCCAGGGACAAAGATTTCCAAAAATTCAACACAACCGTTGGCGGGAGGCAAAAGACAAATCCTTAACAAGAAAGACGAAAACAGTATTACAATGTTTTAAAATGGGAAAATCCCAGAATATATGTCTTTTCCCCAAAAAATTTTTTCTGAACTAAGGGAAATTTAGCAGAAAAGAAAAAATCAGGTTTTATTTGGAAAATTAGTCTTTTTTTTTTTTGTTTTTGTTCTTTATTTTTTGGGCCAAAAAAACAAAAGTCAAAAGGACCCCAAAACCCCAAAAAAAAAACAACCATTCTCAAAAACAAGAAAATTTTCCCAAAAAAAAATTGTTGTTTTTCCTCCCCCACTTTGGGGGTTTTTCTTTTTTTTTTTAATGCGTTTTAAACTAATTATTCCAAAAAAAAAAAAAAAAAAAAAAAATGGTTTTAACTTTTCATAATTGGGGGTCCCCGTTTCCTTTTTTTTGGGGCTTTTCTTTTTCTAAAAAAATTTAATAACCTATTATGTAAAGAAAGGCTAAAAATAGAACAAACAGAAATGGAAAAAAAAAAAATTTTTTTTTTTTTTTTTTTTTTGGGTTAAAAATAATTTTTTTTTTAAAAAAATTTTTAAAATTTTTTTGTTTTTTTTTTTTAAAATTAAATTTTGTGGGAACCAATTATTTCTGTTATTCTGCGGGGGGTTTTTTTTTTAACAGAAAAAAGCGAAGGGTGAATATTTTTCCCCATAACATCTCGGTTTAAAACTAACAAAAATAAGAAAAATGCCTTTTGAACAATAAGATTGAAAAATCAAGTGCGTAAAAATTAAAAAAAGAAAATTTGCCCAAAAAATTCCAAAACTCAAACAATCTTTTTTAAAAAAAATGGGGGGGTTCTTTCTTTTTAATGTTTTACAATTGGGGGGAAAACAAAAAATTTCAAAAAATTTTCCCTTTCTTCTTTAAAGGCCTCTTTTTAATTTTTTGAAAAAAATATAACAACCCTATAAAAAAGGTCCACCCCTACCGAAAAGTTGCTTTCAATGAAGAACCACCCTAGAATTTTTATTTTCCCCCCTCCCTTACCCTAGCCTTTTTCCTTTTTTCTTTTTTTTTCTTGTTAATATTCTGTTTTTGGGTATCCCCAATTAAAAAAAAAAAAAAAAAAGAATTCTGTTGTGATTATCTTGTCCATCTGTGATCATCTACCATGTGAGCTAATGTAAACAAGGAACAGGACTTAATACTTTTTATAGTTCTGCCATGAACATAACCCTTTTAAGCTTAATTAAAAATCCTTTATCCATATCAAAATCTTCATCATATCTAGGTCTACGCTATAAAATATATTCTATACTATTACTTATATAATTCAAGCCCAGTATTTCTGCATTTTATAAGTCAGGAATTGTCTCAATGCATCGTCCAAATGCATTGGCATTTGGATAATTTAGCTCAAAAGAGAAGGGCAAATATAACTCCAATGATTCCACAATTATACTAAGCAGTATCTTAAAGTAATGATGTATAACAAAAGAGGGATCCTTTGACTTTGAAAGCATTACATGGTATGTTACTATAGTACATGGATTTGAGCTTGACTTAGAGTGATTTTATAATTAGTTTGCCTTGAAGTATAACAAGGACAGGGGCTTTGGAGCAGAAAAGCTGAATTCATGAATTTTAGTGAGCTAGAACAAGTCATTAACCCTTCTGAGATTCAGATTCCATGTTTATAATATGGAGGTGATACTGTTCATCTCACAAGGTCATTAGAAGGATTAAATATGATAATCCTTGACTAATACAGTAATCAGTAAACTGTTAAGTATCATCCAATTATTTACAGTTCCTACTCCTTAAACACAACTGGTATGTATGAAATGGCCCTGACTCTAATTCTCTGAGTTGGCAGTAGATACCATGATTTAAGTCATTTGTAGTTCCTTAGTCCTATCCTAACACTTTAGAGTACTCCAAAGACTAGATATGTATGTAGGGATACCATTCGATATGCTTTACTTTTACCTGAGCTTTTTATTTTTCTTCCTAGCACCACTGCCTAAAATGAATGTGGGAATATAGCTTAATTATTAATAACAGTCTTACTCCCAGTTAAGGGAAACAGTCTTTTGGTTCTAAAGAATAGACACAATTTAACCTGGCTGCATAGAAGGAACAAAGGATTAAAAAATTAAGGTACATGCTTACAGCAAGTGGTCTCATTTACTCATGGTCTCAATAACAAAATTAGAAGAAAAAAATCAAATCAATATATCTATGCTCTAAACTAATTACAGAAGACCAGGCAATGGTTGCAAAACCAAATGTAATCTAGACTAGTAATTCTCAACTCCAGACTTTTTTTTTTGAGACACAGTCTCTGTTGCCCGAGATAGAGTACAATGGCATCAGCCTAGCTCACAGCAACCTCAAACTCCTGGGCTTAAGCAATCCTTCTGCCTCAGCCTCCTGAGTAGCTAGGACTACAGGTATGCAGCACCATGCCCAGCTAAGTTTTTTTACATATATTTTTAGTTGTACAGATAATCTCTTTTTATTTTTAGTAGAGATGGGGTCTTGCTCTTGCTCAGGTTGGTCTTTAACTCCTGATCTCAAGCGATCCTCCCACCTCTGCCTCCCAGGGTGCTAGGGATTACAGATGAGCCACCACACCTGGCCTCAACTCCAGATTCTGAT